CATTCTGCTGCTGACAGCAAATGATCTCTGGTAGCCACAATGGACTTCAGCTTGTTGCGGGGAAGAAAAAGAACCAGAGCCAACAGGGCAACGGATGTTCTTTGCACTTCCACGAGGAAAAAAAAAATCGTAAGAGAGCGTCGTATCACTGAAGTACAACTCGGGCTACTTACATATCACCTCTGCATTCATGGCGTTGCTGTTGGGTGCCATCGACGCCTGAGAAAGTGAGAAAGGAAATGTCACAGCTCATAAGGTGTGACAAATCACCGCGTAGCTCGAGCATAAAAAGAAATCTGTGTGATCCCTGGCGAAGGCACTAGCCAACTGACTGTAACAGGCATTGACGTTGAATTTAAGCCTCACTCCCTTATCCAAACCGTTTTCCTACCGCTCCGAGATCTCTTTACTTGTGTGATGCTGCACCAGAACCTGTAATGCGACAGCATGCACCTCTACCTCGAAAAAGGCAAATAATCTACCTGTCCTGAGTGCCCCATGCAATCCTTCACCTTCAATATTGAAAATAATGGCAATGACCCATCAACAGTATCGAAAACGTAAACAGTTCTGACAAAATAGGAGTCGTACCCCAGGCTTCTAGGCAGAAAATCTGCCGTACGTATGCGTAATGCATTACCGCCCATAAAATCCACATTAAAGGTCCGTTTCCCGTCCAATCTAGTTCCTATAATGAAAATAAAAGCAAAAAGTCATTAGCATCTATGAGATCCACACTTTAAGATAACACATTTCATGGCAATTGTATACATAAAAGTGGTCGTAATAGAACGATGGAGGGTAAATGTAAGTGGACAGGTGGACAAATTGAAAATTCAGAAATGCTGCGTGAACACATTAGGGACTAAGGACATCTCTCCTCGTGGCCTGATGGGTTGCGTGATCTAGAACCACCTCCACCTACCGGAGAGCGATCCATGGCTGACATACGAGAAGCATCACGTCGATGAAGGGAGCCTCGAGCGTCAAGACGGTCGCGGTTTCTAAGTGTACCGCGGGAGGAGCCGGACCCTAATCCATTACAAAGATTTGACAAGCTAGCTTAATCCGTAAACCCTGCCCTATATCCAAAATTTTTATTTTATGGAGTCAGACCAATAGACTCTCCGTAATAATTGATAGATTTGGCTACCAGAGATTATCCCATGTATGCGCTATCCCTTAATAACTTGAATTCTTTTATTGCCCGAATAAATGCGGTAAAATTGTTTATCCTTTTTCTTGGCAAATATGAAATTGGTTTATTTTTAATTGATCAAACCCGCTCCATGTCTAAGCTATCCTTCTGAAGAGGTCAACAGTGCAGCAACCACTGATGGCCTCAACCTCTACCACACCAACAAGCGTGATTGTGGCCTCTAAGTCTCCCACCATTCTCTGCAGATAAACCACCTATCAACAACTGGTTCAACCTCATGACACAAAGAGCATATAAAAGCTGGGGCCATTAGAGGAATACAGAACTCCTCCTCTTTGACATGCAGTACTTTCAATTCAATAGCATCGTACTACTGGCAACGCTTTTGCCAGTCTCCATTCTCGCTTATGGTGAGTTACAAATTTCCTTTTGTTGACACAACTGGCACAGGCTCCACCATTGAGTCTATAATGGATAGCGCTTTGGTGGACGCGCCGGAATACTTAGTTACACATGCTGAAAAAACCCAAGTTGAAGCTGTTGAAAGCCTCGTTCGCTCGTGCCCCTTTGCATTTCACGAGGCTTTGGTCAATGGAGAGTTGATTTATACCCTCGGTATTTGTATCAACGCAACCCGGATGATATTATCTCCGCCCTCTTCGGCAAGTTTTCTACACTTTACGGTTTACTGCGTTAATCTTATTCATTCGTCTCCTCCCTCCTCCTACAAATTATAGCTTACAGAATCGCGTTACCATTCACAGCCAAATATTCTAGGCATTTTTTTAGGTGCAGCAGTTTCAAACACTTGTACAATTCTTTCGCAATGATTACCAGCATTTGAGGGCAATGTAATCTGGTATTATATTCATTCTAAAGTCCATTTACCGGCTCATCTGGCCTTTTTATTTTAACATTTCAGTTCGTGAGTAAAATAGATATAGGAAAATTAAAGTTGGATATTTCTGTGCAAGTGAGAAAAGCCGTGCGCCCGGAAGTCAAATTGGAATTGTCGGTACCAGTTTTCGATAGCGCATATGTCTATATAGGGTTTTTACCTTTAAGCGCTAATTTGTTTAAAAAGCGAATTATCAGTGAAACCAAATCAAGGCTTGAAAATGAACTCCAG